AGATATTGAACAATTGCCATCATGCGTCACACATACAAACAAGTCATCACATATGCATGTACTGCATTATCATCAATTTCAACTTAAAGAATGAATCATTAAGAGTAAGGCAAGTATTAGTGGTACTAAATTAAAAAGGATTTATTGAATTGAGTAAAAATATTAGTTTAATAAAAACATTTTTGAAGATTTTAAAAAAATTTATAAGATTATATTAACTTTTTAATATTCTTTTAAAGATTATTTACAATCAAGATTTTTTATTTAAATTTCAAAAAACTTATAATAGATATTTTAAACATTTCAAAATACTTTAAAAATTTTAAGAATTTAAAAGAATTCATCTTTGAGAGAAAATTATGCCAATTAGACAAATAAAATAAATTTTTTTTTGTAATTGATGAAAATAATATTTGTTAATAGATTCAATTTGAAATTCACCAAAACACAATATTTCGAAAAGAAAACTACCAAATGTTGATCATATATATGTACTACTTATATTTTCATTTAAATGGAAGTGTTGGTTCAAAAATTGATAACTAAAATTTAAGAGTACGAAGTATTTTGTATCCTCTCGATTACATTAATGTATGAGATTGAATAAAAAAGTTATTAGAGACTAAATTACAGGGAAAATGAATAATATAATTCATTTAATAAAATTAATGAAAAAAATTCTCAAAAAAATAATAATATCCACTTATAACACAATATCACTTTAAAAAATTAAACAATAATTATTAATTTGGACATATGGTGAAAATCTTGCAAAACGAAATTAACATGTTTAAAATTTAAATTAAAGGCTTAAATAATTTTTTGGTCCGTGTAAGTTAATAAATTTTGAAGTTTGGTTTCTATATTCATTTTTTTTTTGGTTGAATGTTTATATCTCACTTTTGTGTTGGTGTTAATCCCTAGGGTTAAAATTATGTTAAAAAAAGATGACTTAGCTAACGGCGCAAGGAAGCACAACAATACTCTAAAGAAAGTACCAATTGGTGTTGAGAATGTAGGGTCATCTAGTGCTGTGAAAAATGAGATGGACATTAATTATGCTAGTGATGAGTTTGGTAGTAGTGACCCTGATGCTTTTGATGGAGAGAAGGAACCAAAATATCCATGGTTTAAGATGAAGGATTTGGACAACAATTAAAAAATCAAAGTGGAATTGGAGTTTGTATCACTTGAAGAGTTTACAGAAGCAATAATTGAATAGTCAGTATTAAATGGTAAACAGATAAAGTATGTGAAAAATGGCAAAGTTAGAGTAAGGGTAATTTGCAAGGAAAATGTGAATTTTTAGCTCTTGTAAGCAAATTTGGGAATAAGCACACATAGAATGAAGAAATGGGTTGGAACACACACATGTGGTAGGGTATTGAATAATAGTTCTGCCAATTCCAAGTGAGTTGCTAAAACTATGGCAGTATGTAATTGTGAGACATGAAACATTATTATGGTTTATGTATGGTGTGTCTTTGTTGTATGTTGAGACAACTTTATATGCTTTTATGTTCTACAATATTAAGTAAACACATGAAATACAAATAAATCATTAACAAACCGTGATGTAATACAAATAAATCATTAAGAAAAAGGGATGCAAAACAAAAGCTACAAACATATAGGGATGGAAATAAAAATTTTCATAGGTTCTGATTTATTCCACAATTAAGCCTTACAGAAACAAAATTCAACAACTATTTATAGACACCATGAACATAAAACACACTACCATTTCTGGTAGACAAAGAACACACACCATGAAAAAGTCAACAAAAGCTTAAACATTTTGGTCTTTTTCCTTTTGTTTTCCAACTTCAATTTCATCTTCTGTTTTTTCCTAACTTCAAGATCTTTAATGATGCAACCTAATTCCTGAACTACCTCTGAGCAATTGCATCTAATTGAGTTTTGTGTTCACTTGATGTGCAGCGCTCAAGTTCATCATCCCATATGAATAGCTTGCAACCTAATCCCGAATTAGAACATCTTCTTAATCTTCTTTTAGGGTTTTCGGCTGAATTTGAGATGAACATTCTCATCGCTTTATTGCAACTATAAATTGGAATTTGAGACTCACTGAAATTACCTACAGATGACATTGTCGTGGTTGAATTTGCACTACAATTTGAGGAAGAAGAAATGAAGAACAAATGAAGAAAAAGAGATGCAAATAAGGTGTTCTTTTTGAATTTAATCGTCCTTTTCAAGGCCCCTACACTAGGTTTTTCACGTATTAACCAAAGAAATTTTTTAAGTGAATTCCACGTGTCCGTGGTTAATCAAGTTTGCTTTTTTTCTTAAACACAATTCTAACCCTAAGGACTAATGCCAACACAAAACTGAGATATAGGGAATCAGACACAAAAAGATATAGGGAGCAAAATCAAAAACTCTCTAACTTACAGAGACCAGAAGACTATTTAAGGCTAAATTAAATCAAAAGTGTTGGAGTAAAATAATAATAATGATAATAATTTATCGGTATATAACATGAACTATGATGATTAAGTGTAAAGATGATGATATAAAATAAATATTAAAAAAAAAATATTTATACCACATGAAACATGATGATAACAAAAAAAGTAAATAGACAGAAAAGAAAAATAATATAATATCAAATATGATAACAAAAAAAAAATTGAAAGTGTTTTAGAAAGTACCATAAGTTTGAGTGTTTTTTTTTTAATTTTTAATATAAAAAGGTTACTCGAACGGGAATCCATTTAGTTAAAAGAAGTACCAAACGGAAATCCAACAGGCACAAAAAAATAAAGCAGAGAAAAATAAAGGCAATAAAGTCTACAACAAGTCCAATAAACAAACACCTAAATCAAAAAGAGATAACTAAATTAAGGAATCATCCTAAGAAAAGACATGCTAGATCTTGGCCGAAAGAAACCACCATTTGCAAACATCCTATAGAGGCACCGCCAAAACTTTCCACTGCAAGGTCTAAGACACTCACTTCTCTATTGGCTTAGACAAATAGAATGATTCTCAAGTCAAATAGAGAAAACGCAAGAGTTTTTAGCATGCCTACAAGAGATACCATTTCCAAGATAGAAATATACTCTTATCTTCCACATCCCTCACGCTGATAGAGGAACTTACAAAAATGATCAAAATCAAACCACCCTTCACCCTATACTTATAAGGATGAGGAAAAATAAAAACTAACAAACATATCCCCTAAAGGTGAGGAAAAAATAACCTTGGCTTCATATCTTAGAGATAAAATGTCATACCAGATGTCAGAAGCGTCTGAAATGAGCCTACATCTCCACATAGACAAAAAGGGAAAAATTAACCAAGCAAAGATCCCAGATTCCCCAACCTCATGTGTTTAGGCTTTCAAACACCGACACACTTGACCTAAGAAATCTTAGACTCATCGTTGTCCCCTCCCTACAGGAACCTTCTATGGATCCTTACCATCTTTTGCCAAACCTTGACATGCTTTTCAGAAAAGACAAGAAGAATATATGATAACATTAAGGATCGAGCTGAGTAAGATCACCCAACACCTTTATCTAACATATTGATGTCTCTACGAGTTTAACCGACTAAAATTCAGACTAACTAGAGGTTTCCACATAGACATACTATGAGGTTTTTTTTCCACTAGTAGTCCTATGCACTTGAAGGGAAGAGACTCTTGCTTACAATGGAAAAAAATCATCAGTTATGTCCATAAAGCTAGGATCCACATTAACCCCATGAGAATGTTTTTTCCAAAGTTAACTCGAAGACCCAAAACAAGCTCAAAACCCTCAAAGAATAACCTTTATCTACCAAAGATTATTTATTGAAGCCTCCTTTAAAATAGTTGTATTAAAGGCATATTGTATATGAGAGATAATAAGATATGAGGAGCTAACTTTAACAACCGATAAAAGACTAAGACCCAAAACTCTAGAATACAACTCATGCATTCCGTCTACAACATGTAGAAAAAAGAAAGGAGTTAGGGGTTTGCCTTACCTTAAATTGCTTTGGATTCTGATATCTTAGGTTAGACTATCATTGAGCAAAATTGCAAGATTTCTAGAGAAAACACAAGCACACATCTAGAATATCCACTTAGCATTAAACCCAAACCTAATAATCATATACTTCATAAAATTTTGACTCACTGAATCATTAGCTTTTTCGAAGTTAACATTAAAAAAAGAAAATAAATTTTGATTTTCTTAACAAGGTCCACGAACTCATTCCCAACCACCATTGACTAGCAAACTAACTTTAAGAAAGATCAATTGATTAGGAAAAATGAGATTGTCCATAACCTCAGCAAGTTCAACTATAATACATTGGAAACAAGTCTATAGAGACATCCTATCAAAAAAAATATATCCAACATCCTCTAATTGGGCAGGAGAATCAACCTTTAGAAGTGACAAAATAGACCATAAAACAACTTAGACGGAAGAAAATCGATGAAATTGGTTAAACAATACCCCTAAATCTATGAGTAAAAGCCAAAGCATTTTAAGAAAAAGAAAAATTAAAAATATCTAATGGCTCTTATTCGCATCACATAAAGTCACAACTCTATCTATCTCAAAAAGCAAAAAATGAGAAGTGAGGGTAACACTATAATCTCTCTCCGAGATGGTTAGTGTGTATATTTAAATCTGCAATAACTAAAAAGTATTTTTAACACTTTGAATACGAATATATTTTTATAAATTGTGACAAATTTCAAGTGAATACATATTTTATTATTTTAAATAAAAATCCACGAGTATAGTTACGGAATACTACAAAATTTATTTAAACTTTATAAAAATCTTGATTGAAAACCATAATTTATATTTAATTGACCAAGTTGATGTTGTTTGAAAAGCCCATTTTGCATAAGACAAACGTGCATGCAATCAGCATAGAGAAACTAAACAAGATTCATACATATATGAGTTTGGTGTTATATTTTAGAACCAGAGTGGGAGATAAATCCATAGAGAAAAAAACAAGATATTTCGAAAATGGCTGGTGGGGTATTCTCAGTGGATAGTACACCAGTTACTGCCATCAACGTCGGTGGCAAGTTAACACTCTCAATCATCATTTCATGCATAGTTGCTGCATCCAGTGGCCTCCTTTTTGGATACGACCTCGGAGTTTCAGGTTTTCATTTTTTTTCTTCCTTTCTCTAAATTATTACACGTTAGAGAATTTTTATATATTGATGATAAAACTGTTATCGAATTTCAGGAGGTGTTACAACGATGGTGCCATTTCTTCAAAAATTCTTTCCAGATATTCTAAGAAAGGCAGCTGGTACAGAAGCAAATCTGTATTGTGTGTATGACAGTCAAGTGTTGACATTATTCACTTCTTCTCTGTATCTAGCCGGATTAGTATCATCACTTGCTGCGAGCAAAGTCACGGCGTTATACGGCCGGAGAAACACCATCTTATTTGGTGGTATCCTCTTCCTTGCCGGTGGTTCCATTAACGGTGGTGCTGAAAATATCCCCATGCTCATTTTGGGGCGTGTTCTTCTTGGTTTGGGAGTTGGTTTCACTAATCAAGTAAGTCTTTACATCTAAAACATTTATATATATATATATATATATATATATATATATATATATATATATATATATATATATATATATATATATATATATATATATATATATATATATATATATATATATATATATATATATATATATATATATATATATATATATATATATATATATATATATAATGTTTTGTTTTTATCTCTATTTCGCTCTCTTGACTTATGCAGCACATGAAATATAAACCAATTCTAATCCAGGTGACGTTTGCGTACAATATACATACTAAATTAAACTACTCACCATAAATTGAAAAGTAAACAAAAGTAACTAATGCTAATAAATAATTGTCAAAATATGATGATAAAATATTTATTAATCGAGAAAAGAGATGATATATTGAGAGGTAAATTAATTTTACACTATTAATCAATGATAATCATGTATTCTGGTAAGTTGGATTAAAAATTTTAAACAATTTGTATGATATAACAAAAGGATATATTTTTATTGAACGACAGTATAAATTTTTTTTACACTATCAGTGTATCACCATTAAACCTTTATTAATTTTTTATTTTAAACATTACAAAAGTAAACTGTTGTTTTTGGATTTTTGAAAATAGTTTTAGAAGTTATCAAGATGAGTCGCAGAAAAGTTTTCTCAATGTAAAATGTTTGGTGGCACTATTTAAAATTATGCAAAGCAATCACACTCAATCATGTCGTCTCCTAGATAAAACAACTCACACTACTACGGAAAACACATATAATGACGGTTTCACGTCTATTTTTATATAGCGTGTGATTGTATGCATGCTGGTTTTCACAATGGGTAAGTGACCGTAGTTATAAGTTAGGTAATGTGCTACTTATAACAACAATTAAGTCAAACAACCATTGTCAAATACTTTATAAGTCTTGAGTTCGAATCACAGCAACAGCGTTCTTATGTTTTAACATTACACCACGGTTATATGTTCCAACCGTGATGGACTGATGGTATGTGTAAGAGTTTATTATTAAATATGAGATTGCTTATTTTTCCATGCCCCTCATTAAGCACATACAACCATTAAAATATATTTTTTAAATAATAATTTAAAAAATTAAATTATTTTTGTAGAACAACTTAAACGGTCAAATGTTTATCGAATTGTGTGCATCTTGTTATTCATGATTCCTCATTAACCTATATAATTTGATTCAATCACAAATTCTTCAAAGTAAAGATAATGAATGGATGTCTTCTAAGTCTTTCACATAAAATTTGATTTTCTCTTTTTTTTTTTGTTCTTCTTCTAGTTTGTGCAAACATCAAATTCTATGTGAAAGACTCAGTCTGACACCTATTTATCATCATTGTTTTGAATAATTTGTGCCATTAAATTAAAATTTGTAGACTAAAGAGGAAATCATGAATTACAAGATGCATGCAATTCAATAAACATTGGATCGTCTAAGTTATTTTACAAGAATAATTTAATTTTTCTAATTATTATAGTAAAAAATCTATTTGAATGAATGCAAGTTCAATGAGAGGTTAGTGAAGCAAACAATCACATATAATATGACAAACTCACTAACAAAATTTATCAATAAAAATATCAATTAATTACATAGATGAGGAGAACTTGATAACTAATTGTTCCTGAAAGCTATGAAGAGAATAAATTAGTAGAAGAGAGAGTAGAAAATATGTGTTCACTATGGGAATATCATATGAAAGACTTAATATTTTCACAGCAAACACAAGTTCACTCTTAGATCATGTTCACACAACCAGCTGCATCAGTGACAAGTAAAAAACCATAACCACTTGCTAGCTACAACATCAACAACAATATCAACAACATGCAACAACATTTATCAACATACATACCTTTAATTGAAAAAATTCGTGGAAAAAAATGAAAATATAAATAATATGTTAACATAAACTAGCAGTACATTGTAATCCAATCCAACAAAAGGTTAACATAAAATAGCATGTTAACATAACAGTACATTGTAATCCAACACAACTTTATCAATATACACGATTAACATGTGACTTAAAAAAGGTTAACTTGCAATACATTGTGTTGTGAATTGATGTCGTCAAAAAGAAATCAAAATATGAGAAAAAGATTTAAGTTTCTTGAACAAACACAAGAGACCCTATTAGGTTTCACAAAAAGATAGAGAAGAAAGAAGAAGAAGAATAAGAATTGGTTAAAATTATTTTACTATTCACTTACTCAATAAAGGTTCAAAGATTACAAGTGAATACCAACAACGAACCTCTCTCAACAACCTGATAGCACTATTCTATTTATATACTACTAATCTAACTTATGATACAAGCTAACTTAGTAATTGGGCTTACAAGCAGAGCACAATTCGACGTTCTAACTTAAATACAAAGCTAACATATTTCGACAGCGTGCTTGAACAAACTTTGACTCCAGCATGCACAACTCCTGTCAAACCATGAAACTATCTTTGTTGACACTAGAGTTCAATCCAAAATACCACAAATCTCCACCTTAGAACAAACTATACACCAACAAGGTAACGAACTCGTTTTCATCATCCATGGATTTTAACCATTCAATCTTATTTTGACTTCTCATAAATTCCTTATAGTCTATAGGTTCTTCCTCAAGAACCTCACTTGTAGAGATTATGGCATAAGCTATGAGATCTCTATAACTAAGTCTCTAAGATGGTTTGATGACTCTTCTCGACCTGTCTCTTACATGCAGGTAATCATTATCAGTCTCCTCATCTTCATAAGCAACTTGAGATTCTTCTTTGAGTTCATATGGGTTATGCAATTTAGCATCCCCATGCTCCACCTCAACAGGAATCTCTTTTTGTTCTAGCTCTTCTTAAGAGATCTTCGAACTTTGAACAATGTCATCAGTTTTCTTGAAAGTCATCTCAACTTCATTGAAAACTACATCTCGACTTGTGATACACCTCTTGTGACCTGGCTCTAGGCACTATAGCCTATAAGTTTTGACTCCTTCTTGGTATCTAAGGAACATACATCTTAGAGCTCCAGGTTCAACATTGTCTTGCCTAATACGATCATAGGCTAAACAACCAAATACTTTAAGTCTATCGAGACTAGATGAATGTCATGACCAGATTTCTTCAGGTGTCTTTATTCTCAAGGCTGTCGAGGGAAACTTATTTATCAAGTATGCTGCAGTCACATCATCTTTTGCCCAAAATACCTTCTTCAATCCCGCACTTACCAACAATCATCTCACCCTTTTCAAAATGGTTCAATTAAACCTTGCATCCAAACCATTTTATTGGGGAGTCCCTGCAGTAGTTATGTGCCTTACAATAACATGCACAATATAATAGTTGTCGAAAGCTTCATTGCAAAATTCAAGATCATTGTCGATCAACCTCTTGACCTTCCTGTCAATTCGGTTTTCGAATAGAGTCTTCCAACTTTTGAGATTTTCAAAAGTTTCATCCTTAGCCTTCTGGATGAATACCCATAACTTTCTGGAGTAATCATCAACTATGGATAAAAAATACTTTGCACCTGAGTGTGAAGGATTCCTTGCAGGTCCCCAAAGATCAACATGAATTTAATCAAGGGATTCATGTGTTCTTTTCTTACCTCTGTTAAACTCTATTCTACAGGATTTACTAAATACAGAAGGTTCACAAAACTCCATTTTTTCGACCTTGTCACCACTTAGCAAATTTTGTTTCAACAATTCGACCAGGCCTCTTTCATTCACATGGCCAAGTCTCTTGTGAAATAGCTCAGTCTTCGACACAATTTTTATGGATGCCACATTTGTTGAACTATTTACAATCTCATCCTCAAGGATATACAAGCCTTGTTTCATCATGCCTCTGAGACTTCCTTTGACCCCTTCATTACCCTTAGGATGCTTTGCTCTCATTTGAAAACATATCCTTTCTTGTAGAATTCACCAGGAGAAATCAAATTTCTCTTAAGATCAGGTACATACCTGACAATAGTCAATAGCCTTATTGACTCATCATAGAACTTGAATCTCACAATTCCGATACCTGTAATTTTGCAAGCTTTGTTGTTTCCCAGTAGCACTGATCCACCATTTTGATTAGAAAATTCCTCAAACACATCTTTGTTTGGAGTCATGTGCCAAGTACACCCTGAATCCATAATCCATTCCTTGTTAAAGTTACTGCTTGAAACCACCAGGACATCAGATGATTCATAACCATCTTGCACAATGGTTGCATTACCATTATCCTTTCCACCATGATTATTCAATCAATCAGGACATAATTTTCTTGTATGACCCTCCTTTACAATGATAATACTTAATAGTATGAGCATTACCACCATAAGAATTTTGTAGAACTTTACCATTTTTCTTCTCAAACCTACCATCTTTCTTCAAGAATTTCCCCTTAACGAACAAACCTTCACCAAAAGAATATGGCTTGTGCTCCTTTCGTTTGTTTAAATCCTTAGAGTATAAGGAAGATTAAACATCTTCAAAGGTCAACGACTCTCTTCCATACCAGAGAGTTTCTTTAAAGTGAGCATGAGACTTAGGTAAAGAACACAGCACATCAACGTTTGATCTTCATCATTAATCTTGACCTCGATATTCTCATAATCAAGAATCAACTTGTTGAACATATCCAGCTGCTCAGCTAAGGTTTTGTCTTCACTCATTTTAAATGAATACAAATCTTGCTTCAAGTAGATACGATTAACCAACAATTTTTTCATATTCAAACCTTCAAATTTGATCCACACACCAGCTGCATTTTTCTCCTTCTAAATCTATCACAGAACCTTATCACCAAGGCTCTACACAATGGCACTTTGAGTTTTTTTACCATCATTTTCTTCTCCTTCTCCGTTAGGGCAACATACATCTTCTTTGGTCCTTTCAAGGCTTCTAACAAACCATGTTGAACAAGAAGGGCTTGCATCTTTAAGTGCCATAAACCAAAATCATTCACACCAATGAATACTTTGTTGATGGCATATTCTCCTCTAAGCTCAC